AAGGAGGTTATAAATGTTTTTACAGTTTGTGGTTTCTGTGTATTGTAACCAAAAACATTCAATAACTTAGACAGGTGTACTTCGAAAACTAGAAAATTTAGAACAATGTGATTTTAAGGTTTAAGTGGACCTCCGGGAAATTTAACTATTAATTTAAAAATTTTCAAAAAATTCATGGGTATATATGAGATATTGGCTAGTATCTTCCCAAATTTTAATCAAAATCGTTTGAGTGCTTTTTGAGAAAAACGAGAAAAACTGTTTTTTTCCACATATAAAACTAAAAAACTGCTCGAGCGATTTTAACTATATTTTGTAAATGATTTATTGTGCTGAAATAAGAATGTGCTATTTTTTTTAAATTTTTTGAATTTACAGTTTTGGCACAAAAGAAAAAAAATATTTTAATATACTCATAAATCATTTATTCATACGTATTTTTTATAAAACTTGTTGAATATAATTGGAATAATAAACTTATAAGCATTTAATAAAAAAATTGTGTTACTGAATTGAACGTATTTAAAAATAAATAAATAAATAAAACCATAATATGATTTAATATTCCCACGTTAGATTTGAAGCTCTGGAAGGTGCTGCCTCTACAATAATAACCGGAACGTTTAAAAACATTTTACCAAATTAAATACAGGTAGCAGGATTGTTGGTGTAGTCTCTGCACAACGTTGCCGGTTTGCCGTTATAATTTATAATTTCAGGAAGTTTATTACATCTACAAATTTTATATTTGATTGAAATCTAAAATTTGTGATTTATATTTATTTAGTTATTTATTCATTTTTGTTTGTTTATAATTACAAATTATAATTTTACAAAGGAACGGCATATAAATAAGAAAGGGGAATAAAGAGTTAAATTTTATTAAAAATCATTTTTGATTTATTTGTGTTGATTAAGTTATAGGTTGATTTTTTTTTTTATTACGAATTTTAAATGGACACGATTGTACTTATGTATTAATTACAAAGCGTTAATAAAAATAATTTAGGTAAAATTCATTAGGCAGCTTTGTAACTAGGGAGAGGAATTTAAATGGATAAATAAATTAAACCAAATATAAAGTTATAAAAAAAAATTAGGACTTACTCATGATAAGGACATTAAGAGATTTTTAAGAGGATTTAATACATCAAAAAAAAAAACGTGTGGAATAGTAGTTATCAACTTTTTGTTGTTATGAGGATTTAGTATAAACTTGGATAAAGCATTTTGACAAATAACATTTCTGCCTTTCCTTTGGAAGAAAGGATGATTAAATCGTCATCTCCTAAAATTGATTGTGCCAGAATATTATTTTTAAGTTGTAGCAGATTTTTCATTCACATTTTCATTGATTTGACTCTGGTGTCAGATTTTGTAAAAGCTTGTGTGACTTGATAATTGCCTGCTGAGATATTTATTTCACTTTAAATAATTTCGTAGTTCCATATTTCGTGAACGTCTACTATCCACAAGTTCTACTCAATAATGATCATAAAAAAATGTGCTTATCTTGTTAATCATTGCCTTTGTGAACTTTTTATCATATTTAATCGTTTGTATGTGTAGTCCTTTAGGTGTCCAAATCACAAAATCATAGTAATTTCTTTTAGAAATAAAAAGTTGTCCTTGCACTTGATAAAAATATTTGTGATTCTTTTTTAAATATCTATCTTCAGGTAAGTAACAACAGAAACTTTTAATAGAACTTGCTGCTTCTAAGACGTCTTAAAGACGTCTTTCAGGAAATACCAGACATCTTAAAGACGTCTCGAATGTCTTATGCCAGACGTCTTTAAGACGACTTTGTGCTATCTGGGTAGTAATAATAACCTAGGTTTTACATTTTTTTGATGACATTATTTTGTGGTCGTAGGAAAAATATTGTACATCACTTGTGTGAAAAGTGATTTTCCACACTCGTAATGTAATATACTATTTTTTTTTATTTGTAATAATGTCACAAAATTGGCAATTAGACAAGGATGTAATTGAATTTATTATTTTATATTTTGTTGCCCACATATGCTATTCCTAATGATGATATTGGCTCATAGCTTTTCTTTTCGACATTTTTGGTCCTAATTAAAACCGAAGTCTTTCCTTGAAATAAATTGGAAAAGTCGTAAAGTAGAAAAATACCACGTAGAACATTCACTTTGAGTTTGTTATTTTTTATTAAAAAGAGGATAATTTCCTGTACATCAATGTTTTTTTTTTAATTTTGACCGTTACTGCACTAGAATTTGGAATTTATTCCGCAACATTGTGGTGCTAAAAATTAATAAAAATATAAAAGTTATTTTGTATATTATTCGGAGTTACAATTTTGTCAACTTTTAATTATTTAAAAACACTTTCAGACTTTGAAGTGTTCAATTGCGTGTTTCTCAAAAACTGTTAAAATTATTAAGTTTAAACAAAAGTAGAACAGTTTTACACAAAAATTACGTTTGTATCATATTCTCTAATCAAAATTACCTAGAAAAAAAGGTATATTTTATGTTTGACAAAATCTATAATATAACTGTTTATTGTCCAGCTAATAAGATATAAAAATTACTAAAAAGTTTCATCAAAGAAAGGTATGTCTCAATTTCATTATCGGTAATCGCACACCCTGTAACAAAATATAAAATATAAAATAATATTCCTTCCGTAAAGTTATGCCTCTGTGTCAATTTTAATAATATGAATATTTTGTAAAATTATTAGCAAAAAACGTAAACAATATTTTAACTTAAACACCCGCTAGAAACCATACGGTTGGAAAGGAAATGCAAAATCTATATCCTATTTTTTAAAAGTTTATTGTCCACCTACCTGTTTAGATTCCTTTGTTTTGTACCTTCTGTGCTACGTGCAACATTTCAGTGAATGATCGGAGATCGGTCCACGTTGTCAAATTTTCGCCAAATTCTTTATTTCCAATTAAAGACCCTGTACAAACACCCTGTCTTATGTTTAAAATGCTATAAGTATTAGAAATTAAAAATTTAAAAAAACCGACTTCAAAAACGTGCAGATGCCGTCACCACATCTTAACCAATTTTACATGGGACCACCCTTGAGGTACCCCCTTACTAACAAAAAAAGAATCATAGAAATCGGACAAGATGGTAAAGGATTATCGCTAAACATACATAAAAAATGAAGAGTTTGAGGATTTTCCCATTGATCCAATTATTAGATTTTAACCAAATTTATATAGGACCACCCATGAAGTACCCCCTTTCTAACAAAAAAAGAATCATTGAAATCGGACACTGTGTTAAAGAATAATCGCTGAACATACATTAAAAAAAAAAAATATATATCGCGACGAATTGATAACCTCCTCCTTTTTTGAAGTCTGTTAAAAATAATATTTGAATTGGTTTATTTGCAAAGGTAGATGAAAATAAAGAACACCTAAGTATTTAGGAAAAACATATGTGGCAACGCACTTTCATCCTTGTTCTTTGACCTGTTTTTTTTTTAAAGCAGTAGATTGCATAATTATAAATAAATCAATGTTTACAAACCTATGTATTTATAATATTTACCTAAATAAGATAATTTACCAAAAAAATGCTTATTTTATGAACTTCTAACGTAACCTAATTTTACGTGAAGTTATTGTACTTTTCTTGCAGGCGTTATAGAAAAATCAACAACTTTTTTAATCTACAATAATTCTACCTATCTATTTCGATTGTGATAGAAATCAGGGTTTTTAATATAAACATTTTATATGTAGTAATTCAATCCTATATACTTACTTTTTTAAATGTAAGCCTCTTTTTGACTTTTTCTTGAGTACAATGGGCATTTTCAATAATAAACACAAAAACTCGATAAGAAATAGTATATATAAAACAGTAAGTCACTTAAAAACATCACTAGGCACAGATCAAAAACACGTAAAATAACTGGTGTAGATATGGCAATCGTGCATAACGAGAACGCTCTATTTCCATGCAGCATCTAGTGAGTATTAGCGAAAGTTTTTTTTACAGTTTGAAATCCAGTAGAGAGGTTAATAGTTTTCTATATTCATAAAATATGAGCGTATTGCTTGTAAAGCCATCTCGCGTTGGCGAAACGAAAAAAATGCTGGTCCATTTAAACCTTAACAGGTTGACTGCCACGGCGGTCGAATACGTCCATCTGGTAATTCTTTTTATTTGCTAAACGTTCACTCAGTAGGTACTCGATCAAATATTCGTATTTATTTTGCCAGAATTTGTTATTATTTTGGGTTTCACCACGGTATATGACCAGTGTGGCATACAAGCCTATCCTATCAATCAATCCATCAATTCCAGGATTGCTTCATAAAATAATAAGATAAAAAGCAGGCATATACGACTGCTTATTATTATTTTTTAAATATTAATAGGTTTTAATAGCTTGGATAAATTTTTAAAAAATATATGTAGTAGTACTCTTTTAAAATGTCTATCTACTAACCATCGTAAAGATCAAGCAATTTTTAATATATTGTGAAATATTCAAAAATGGTTATAAAATATTGACACATCTACGAGTAATTAAAAATATCATCCAAAAGTGACAACTTTTTCTTTTCGAAGAAGTATAATTTATTTAAAAAACTACCAAAGGTACGATGGTTTGCATTGAAAAACAATTTTTTTTAACAAAAACAAATAAAAGAGCGTACCTAAATCGGTCTGCATATCAAGAAAAAAAAAAAGAAAGAACCAAAATCTCACTCGACACCGTTATTTTTAGATGAACTATTTGCAAATTTCAAGGCCAATCACATTCTTTTAATATTTTTATGCTCTCGAATAACAAAAAATAACTTTATATTCATTTTATTTATAAATAAACAGATCCATTCAAAAAAACAAATTCGTTATAATGAAATATTATTAATTTAGGTTATGTTAATAATTATTATTGTTTATAAACAAAGCATGCGCAATAAACAGCCAAGTCTAATATCTCCAACATATGAGCGCACAATTATAAAACAATGATCACACGATACTTACCCTCGATATCCTCAACGGTTGGTTCTGATCAACTCCTCCATGCATACGAAATCCCCAAGGAGCGCCACCTTCGAGTCGCACTTCTCTAGTCGTCATATCATTCGCAGGTCTAGAGGTGCGCCGTTATCCAAACGCGGTATTTCGGAACTGTTAATTTAGAAACAAACGAAGTTATTTGAATGTAGAAAATTATGAGGATACGGGGTAAAACCTTTTAAGTCATTGATCTTTGTTTTAAGATAGCAAAAGTTACTTAAGGAGTTTTGCACGATCATCCAGAAGCACAATTTGACATAAGCTATATTTTTTACCATTGGAAATATTCGCACGTTATATATGAAACGAAGTTTCGAGTTTTTATACCAAGAAAAAAACATGGCCTCGACACTGGCAATGATGGGCGTATCTGTCAACTGACGAATTAAGATGCGCCGTGGATAACTCATTTCTCCGAAAGTTTTGAGTGATCGTTTCGGTAGTACTTTCAGCACGCTTATTTTACCTAAAACGTTTGGTGTGGTTTGTGGTTTCCGAATGACATAATACATATACAGGGTGTTTCTAAATTCATGCGACAAAATTCAGGAGGTGATTGCTCGTATGAAATTAAGATGGGTCTTTTCTATAACAAAATTTCCTCAGTCCACCTCTTTCCGAAATATCACCCTTAAAAGGTGGTGACTAAAATGGAGTTTTTATTTATTTTCTAAAATTTCAGTTAAGCTAGAAACTTGAAATTTTGTAGTTTTCGTGCACTTGCAAAGGACTAACCATTTATTTAAAAAAAAATTTATTCTTAAATTTTTTTCCCAAAACCAATAGCTGCAGAGAAAAAAAAAATAAACACCATAATTTATAATTTTTTTAATAAATTGAGTGGAAAACAGTAACGATGTAAAATGTAATACGATTCATAATAAATGCTGGAAATGACCACCTGCAGCCAAAGTACATTACTGAAATTTTAGAGAGAAAAAATAAAAACTCTATTTTAGTCACCACCTTTTAAGGGTGATATCTGAGAAAGGGGTGGGTTGAGAAAATTTTGTTATAGGAAAGACCTATCTTAATTTCATACGAGCAATCACCTCCTGAATTTTGTCGCATGAATTAAGAAACACCCTGTATAATCGGAACTCGGTTTGGAAGTTTCTTGTAGGGATTAATCAAAAGTGTTTGATTAGACGTTTCCACAATTTATCAAAAATATACAGGGTTGGGAAAAATTGGCGGAAAACCCGATTTGTGGCTTAATTATGGATTGGACTGGAAACGGACACAAATAACTTTTCGTATATTTTATGCATATTTAATGACGATTGGGGATTTTCGTCAACTGTCATATTTATACATATGACGTCATCGGATGAAATTTTAAAAATGAATTACCCTGTATTTATATTTTTTTTTTTAGATATATTCTTTCTTAATCTACAGTGCCGGATTTACAATAATAAAAGGGCCCCTAGGCACTTTTTACAAGCGCCCCCAATAATTTTTTATGTGTATAAAAAAAAGATATATTTGTTAAGGTATTATCCTAGTATATACATTTTCACTCAAAAGTCTGTGAAGAGTATAGATTTACTTTGTCCGTCTGCCCGATTCAAAAATTAACCATAATATCAACTTAAAATTTTTGGAAAAAAACAACACTATAAGGGGACAAAGCCTATTAATTTAAAAAAAAATCTGAATAAAATGGAGGTCAAAGGGGGTTGAAATATAATAAAATAGAAATTAAAATCCACAAGTAGTATCAGCATGAAATGTTTAGCAAAAAACAAGCTCTATTCGGGGAAGAAGCCCTAAAAATGCTCTATAAGGAAATGATGCCTATTGTTTCCAAAAAATAAAAATTTAATAAATATGGATTAAAATATTTAAAAAAATCCTAACTCAAAAACGAACAATAATATCAACTTGAAATTTTTGGCAAAAATCGATCTATATAAGTAAACAATTTAAAAAATCAGAATAAAATGGGGGTCAAATGTGGTTGAAATAAAATAAAACAGAAATAAAAAACCAAACGCTATATCGACATGACATGTTTAGTAATAATCAAGCTCTATAAGGGAATTAATAAATAAATAAATAAATAACAATGGGGAGATAAGGGGAGTTGAAATATTGAAAAAAATTCTAACTAAGAAACAAAAAACGATATCAAATTGAAATCTTCAGGAAAAATCAAGCTTAAATGGGAGTGATTCTGAAAGGAAAATGTGATTGAAAATAATGGTAATGTATATATCTTAATTCCAGTTTTTATTAAAAATATTCAGTACACCAACTGAGTAATGCATTAAAAACACACTTTAATAAATTTTAGTGAATACAGATCATGGATTTGTTCATTTTGGTATCTTTTCTTTCAAATATTAGGATTTTAACCTAATTATGGTAAAAATCAGATAGTTTTGACTATATTGCGTCATAATTTCTCCTGTAACCTCTGGCAACACTGGCTTGTCTTTTGTTTTATTGGTTAGGCCCGATTGGCTCAATCGGATTGAGCCGACTCGAGGTCGTAGAACCTGTCGAGGCATTAGGCAAATCTTTACGCGAACAAGTGAACATTTTATGCGCTATTTTGACGTCTCGAGTTTGACGTATTATCTTTGTTTTTAGCGAATAATTGCGTTCAACTTATACTTTATACAAATAAAATAAGAAGTGGTTATTTATTTTTTATTAAAAAAAAAACAATGTAAATTAAATTTAGGTAAAGTTAGCTTTTTTCTGTTTTTCGGTTTTCTCAGGTATCAATTAATTCCAAAACACCGGCGCCCCTTTGGGGCTCTTCACCTCTAGGCTATTGTCTTGTGTGTCTAGTGGTAAATCCGACCCTATGAATCCATCAATATGATAAAAATATATCGTAACAGAAAGATAAACGTTTTTGTGAATAATTAATATAAAACTATCCAATCAGTTGGCTGTGCTATTATTTCAATTGTTTTGCCATGGTTGGACTATTCTACATTAGGTATAAATGTCATATTGTCATCTCGATATTAATCACATTATAATATTGTCACCTTTTAGTAGATCATAATTCACTTGAAAAACTACTACTAAAACGACTAAAACCAATAATTAAAAATAAAAATCTGATCCCTTCGCACCAATTTGGTTTTAGAAACAAACACTCGACAATAGATCAAGTACACAGGATAGCCGATATCATCGAAAAAGCTTACGAAAAAAAATATATATGTTCAGCTATATTTCTTGACGTAGCCCAAGCGTTTGACAAGGTTTGCCATGCTGGCCTGATATTGAAACTTGAAAAAATGCTCCATAGACAATATGTCGACATTCTACAATCATATCTAACGGAAAGAAGGTTTAGAGTAAAGCAAGACAAGGCCTACTCCGAAATGAAAGAAATTAAAGCAGGTCTCCCACAAGGCAGTGTGCTAGGACCGGTTCTTTGCTTATTATACACCAGCGAAATCCCTCATCAACAATGTATTAAAATAGCAAGTTTTGCGGATGACACTGCAATATTGGCAGTTGGCGGAACTAATACAGAGACCTCAGATAAACTTCAGAAAACTTGCAACAGAATCAATCGATGGACAAAAAAGTGAAAAATAAAAATAAATCAAACTAAATCAATGAATGTTGATTTTACTTTTTGACCAAATGAACAAAAAAATAGGAATAAACAATGACGTTATTCCGCATCAGAATTCGACCAAATACCTAGGGATGAACCTAGATCTAAATAGCACACAAAAAAGCGTAAAGAACTTGAACTTAAAAAAATGTATTAGCTTCTAGGAAGAAAATCCAAATTGTCAGTGTACAAAAAACTGCTATTTTATAAACACATCCTAAAACCAATCTAGATTTATGGCATACAGCTATGGGAATGTACCAGCAAGAGTAATATCAACATAATACAAATTTTTTAAAATAAAGTCCTAAGATGGATTGTTAATGCACCTTGGTTCTATCGAAACGATTATCTTCATAGAGACCTGAAGATGCCAACAATCGAAGAAGAAATAAAGAGATTTGCTGCAAAACATGAGGGTCGACTCCACTCCCACGTCAACGAAGAAGCACTGCAATTACTGGACAACTGCACACTCAAGAGAATGATCAAAAGGAAGAAGCCATTTGAGCTAGTGCAGTGAACGTTAGTAATTGCAAGTATTGCAAGTATATACATTTCACCCAAACTAGACCAAAATAAATAACATTTAATACGACTGATAATTTTTGTTAATTTAAACCATGGTTAAACTGAGTGAACGTGAAATAATTACACTATTGATGATTATTTGGTTTGGAGACAGATAGAGATCTCTACAAGGAGCTTGTGATTTGTTCAATGAAACATTTCCTGACAGGATTTCCCAGATTTTAGCAAGTTTAATGAAATAGGAAGTGTGCAAAACAATCCCAGATCTGGACGGATGAAGAAAATGCACTTAATGTGGTTCTAAGTGTACAGCAAGAACCAAAAACATCAGTTCGAAAGCTTGCGAACGATCTATAAGAAGGATTCTAAAAGTCAACAAATGTCATCCCTATAAAGTGCAATTACACTAAGAATTGACTGAAGATGACCCAGATAGATGAATGCAATTCTGTCAGGAAATGATGGATGCCATTAATGGAAATAATGTGTTGAAGAACAACATTGTTTTTTTTAGAAAAATTAACATTTTGTGTCAGTGGATTTGTAAATAAACATAATTGCCGATATAGATCTGATTATAATCCTCACAGGATGGAAGGAGACCACACCCATTATTATTAAACGTTAAAAGTTTGGACTGGTATAGTCAGAGGAAAAAATATTGGACAATTCTTTATGATAGGATAGGTGATCGTTATTTGCAACTTCTTCAAGAGCAAATAGTTCGTTTATTTCTAAATTTATTGAAATCAGTTGGAACTTACTGATGAAATTCCAGCAAGATAGTTCTAGAGTGAGGCAGTATCTGAACATAATATTTCCGCAGAGATGGGTGGGTCGAATAGGACATATTGAGTGGCCGGCACGATCACCGGATTTATCCTCACTGGATTTTTTTGGGGCCATTTGAAAGCAGCATTTTATAAGGACCTGCCAC